ACCCCCCCGGGCTCAATCATCCCCTGACATACTCTATGATTTGCTGATTCATTCCCTTGACAGTAAACTATTGCTGATTTAACCATGACAAGAATGACAAGAATGTGACAGAAATGTGGCATTGACGTAATTGTGATGTAATTATGATGTAATTGTGATGTAACAATATGACATCAGTTTCCTTAAAGGCTGAATAATCCAACACCGTTATCATTTGTTATTAATATTATTGTTGTGTAAAGGTGAATCTTAGAGGTTTGTTGTACTATCATGGAAAAATTTTTTTAAATTTTTAATCTTTTGGTTATATCTTTAGGAAAGTTATCTTACACAGCTGGATGAAGTTCTTGATACTCTTTGTAATTCTGCGCTTCAAAAGGAAACTGAACAATCAGAGACTGAAATAAGTATTAAATCTGAAATGGATGACGAAATGAAAGAAACAAGCATCAATGGCCATGCAAAAGAAATAAATGACCACAGTGAGTCACTAGCAGGCTCTAGCTCTAGAAATGGTCTATCAGAAAATAATGATGAAAGCAATGGACTGCAGGACAGGAATGAAACAGACACTGTTAATGTGAAACAGGAAGGCATTACAAATGGGATAGATTCCGATGATGATGAAAGGAAAAGAAATGGGATGGAACAAGATAAAGGTAGATAATTAGCAATTATTCACTGAAGGCGAAGTGAATATTGGGGAATATTTACCGAGACCCGAGTCTTTGAGCAGCGTGGAAAATATTCTCCATATTCACTGAGCCTGAGGCGAATAATTGTTTTAGCATATACCAACTTGTGTACAGAGTAACTTATTTTTATATACAATAATTCAAAAAAAAATAACAAACAGAAACTTTTAATTTGCGTGACAAATTTACGCAATACTTTTAGCAAAACTTTTAGCAAAACTTTTAGGCCATACTTCGTTGCCTTTTTAGTATTGATATGAATGGCATTTACTTTCATTTTTTTAATTTCCTCATCGGAAATTGTAGCAAAACGATTGCTAGCAGATGCCATTTTGTTGCTGACTCAATACTGTATTCTGAGATTCAGAGGTGAATATCGTAATATTCACCTCCAATTAACCAATGAGCGCACGCGTTCTTAGGAAGTACACAAGTTTGTATATGCTAAGCTCAGTTATACTTAAAAATCATATTACTTAGAAACTGTTAATTTTGTAAGGAAGCTTTTTGATATCTTTTTTTATTTATATCTTTTGTCTCATATTGTACATACATTTACATCTAGTAACTAATAATTTATATTTACTTCCAGTGTGAGAAAGCTTATTAAGACTAACATATTATCTATATATCTTAGCAATTTTCATACTGGACAGCTCAATATTGATATGTTATTGCTGCAGTAAATATGATGTTAACAACTTTATATTTATGTCATTTGTACTTTTTAATCAGAACCATTGACTCCATCACAGAAAGTAAAACCTGCACACAAGAAGGTAAGCATGCAAACAGTTTGCACAATAGAAATATACAAAGGTTTATTGCATGATATTCCTAAATATTTTGAAAACTCTTGAAATTTGAAACCCATTTTCAAGGTACTTGAGAAGCCCTTGAAAAAAAAACTACAATTTAAGTTTATTATTTTTACTCTTGTACAGAGTGGGAGAAAAGGAAAAAGATCAAGCCCTCAGAGACAACCTGGTATCGCTGAGATCTTCTCCAGGGTGTAAGTAATGTACTCTTTCTCATACTCATATGCGAGGATAAATCTGTACAATCTATTCTGTTACGTTAAGGATCTATTTTACTTCGTAAGGAAGGAAGTGATAAAATTATTTTCTAAAACTCCTTATTTATTTTTCCAGTTCATCTAAAAGAAAGCAATCAGATAAATTAGAAGAAAATCAGAGTGGTTCCAGTAGTAGTAATGATACAGATGGTGCAGAGGACCAAACATCACACTGTCAGGTATATATTATTTTTACTTGTTTGTTTGTTTATTTGAAGATAGAGAGATTCACTGGGCATAAATTGGTTAATAACTGAACGATTTTGTGACCTGAACTGTAGTTTTCACCAAGCCACATCATGTGCTCTCTGTACTTGTGTATGGTAGTTATATGGTAGTTTCTCTTTCTCTCTACCACCCCACCGACACCCTACTGACAACCAGCCTACCAACACCCTACTTACTGTAAGATATGGTCAGCGGTAACATAGTTCGCCATGCGCAAGAACGTAACAAGAACATAACAAGAACGTAGCAAGGACGTTAGAGGATCTAAAGTCATTATTGTAGGCCAAACTTGAGGTAAATTCCGGTTTTCTTATGTTCAGATTTGTAAGTCTTATGTTAAGAATATAACTTTCTCGTTGTAGAACCGTACAATAGCGTATAAACCATACAAAGGTCATAAACTGTACAAAGTCTTCAATGACGAGATGTAATGAGAGTCGTTACGAATTAAATGAAAACTGAGTTACGCGTGTCTAAGTCTGGTCCCTACACTTACACCCTACTAACAGGAGGGTGTTGGTAGGTGTTTATTGCATTATTATAGTGGGATGTTGGTAAGCTGTCAGTAGTTTGCCAGTAGTTTGTCAGTAGATTGTAAGTACTGTGTTGATAGGTACATGTATTTAGTGGGGTGTTGGTAGGATGCCAGTAGGGTATTGGTAAGGTTTCAGTAGGGTCTTGGTAGGTTATAAGTAGGGTGTGTAGATTGCCAGTTAGATTGTATCGTTAGTAATTGGTCAGTGAGGTGTCAGTAGGGTGTGTCGGTAGGGTGTCAGTTGGGTGTTGGTAGGGTGTCAGTAGGGTGTTAGCAGAGTGTCAATAAGGTGTTGGTAGGGTGTCAATTGCGCGTTGGTAGGGTGTCAGTAGGGTGTTAGCAGAGTGTCAATAGGGTGTTGGTAGGATGTCAGTAGGGTGTCAGTAGGGTGTTGGTAGGATGTCAGTAGGGTGTCAATTGGGTGTTGGTAGGGTGTCAGTAGGGTGTTAGCAGAAGGTCAATATGGTGTTGGTAGTTTGTCAGTTGGGTGTTGATAGGGTGTCAGTAGGGTGTTAGCAGAGTGTCAATAGGGTGTTGGTAGGGTGTCAGTTGGGTGTTGGTAGGGTGTCAGTAGGGTGTTAGCAGAGTGTCAATAGGGTGTTGGTAGGGTGTCAGTTAGGTGTTGGTAGGGTGTCAGTAGGGTGTTAGCAGAGTGTCAGTTGGGTGTTGTTAGTACGTGTTATTAAGGTGTCAGTAGGGTGGTGCAGGGTGTCAGTAGAATGATGGTAAGGTGCCAATAGGGTGTTTGTAAGGTGTCAGTAGTGTATTAGTAGGGTGTCAGTAGGGTGGCACAGGGGGTCTGTAGAATGTTGGTAAGGTGCCAATAGGGTGTTTGTAAGGTGTCAGTAGTGTGTTAGTAGGGTGTCAGTAGAGTGTTGGTAGGTAGTCAATAGGTGTTGTAAAGTGTTAGTAGGGTCTGGGTGTTAATAGGGTGTCAACACAGCCAACACTGTATTATTATTACAGCAAGATAAAAAAGTAAAGCTTGAAGAGGAAGCAGAGGAAAAGGAATCCGATGCAAACAGGTAGATTTTGATGTACAAAACAAGACACACTGGGATCCCAGGACCCAGTTTGAAACATTTTAGTAATAAATAAATAAATTGATAAATAAATGAATCGATAAAAAAAAATAAATCGTTAGAAAATCACAGTTAGAAGTTGATTTTTGCTGAGGAAGAAAAAAAACAGGGAACCCAGAGGAAAACCTTCAAAGCACAGCAAAGAACTAACAAGCAACTCTACTCACATATGACAGTAAGACCTGGGCACCTTGGTGAGACGCAAGTGCTCTCACCACTACACTACCCATGCTTTTCATCACTGAAGAGAACATTTTTGGCACCTGATGTTAAAATATGTACAATAGATTTTTTGCCAGTGAATTCCTGACAATAATGAAAAGATCATAATGTGATGATAATGAAGGTTGGAAATTGTATAGTTTATGTTAAAATTGGTTTCAGTCATGTGGTTGTAATGGCAAGGATCATCGATCTTTATTCCTTGCAGAATCCAAGAAAATATCCCCGAAAAGATTAAAGATTCCAAGCCACAGGTATAGCAGCAGTAAACTATGCAGTGTTTAGGCCAGTGTTTAGGGCAGGCATTAGACAATGTAAAGAATGTTCACATAAAGGTATCAAAGGATTTTAGATAGTAGAGTCCACCTAAGATTCTTCACAATGATGAGAAATAATTTGATTTGTTAACATTTGCAGCTACCAGAGAGATGCGATGAATGCAGACAACTGCTAAACAACCCAGAACTTAGGATATTTGGTGGTGACAGTGAGGATGCTGTGAGTAACCCAATTTTTACACCATATTTACTTCACAAACAAACACTCCTAGTACTGTATTTATTTCAAACTACACTTCATTGACCAAGGATTTACTCAACCCAAAACTCAGTGTTTATTTGAGTAAATATGAATTTAATTTATGAGGTTATTTATAAGCAAAGTTAACATGGACTGAAATCTGGTCAGCAGTTTAATAGGGGCCTTAAGTATCTTTAAGCTTTGAGGACACATATACCAAAACACTGGCACAAACACATTTTGAATTTTTTTTTAAGCGAATGCAGTTGTTCTCTTTGTTTCTCTAGAAGGATGTTAATAAACATCAGCTATTAAGCATTTTAGCGAAGATGGGGACACAAAGAGCAATGGCTCACACACAAGAAAAAACATTTTGAAGATGTGCTCATTTTGGCCTCTGCATTATCAATGCTTGACAATTAACCTAAGAATCCTAATAGCTCTTAATCGTGCAGGCTCTCTAGAACAGCTATTGCTTGGTCACATTGTTTGCTTTGCCAACTTTGTTGCATCCTTAAACTCCATCCTTTGAAATGAGAAGTTAACATGTTTTTAATTGTAATTTATGAATTATCTGCAGGTAGAAGAATTTGTTGCTTTAGTAGATCCAAGGTTGTCCCTGTTCACAGGTGACGAAGAACAGTTTGACAGCTATGATGACAAGCCACAGCACAAACTCACCAACTTCAGGTGAATAGAAAAGAATTTCCATTCATTTCTTTATTATTTCATTTGTAATTCTCTCAAGGCTGAAATACTTTGTAAGAGTTTGATATAAGAGATAATATGTAGGGGAAAGATGCAGTCTAAACCATGAAAAAAAATTTTGTTAAGAAACTAATCAGTCTTTTTATCCTTTTATTAATTCATCCATTATCTTTTTAGCGTGTATGACAAGAACACCCATTTGTGTCCATTTGACACTGGGTTGATTGAAAAGAATGTAGAGTTATACTTCAGTGGATACTTGAAGCCCATATATGATGAGAATCCCGTGCAAGAAGGTAGGATTAACATTATGTATATGTTTGACGTAGATACACATTAAATGTTCTGGTTAAAAAAATAGAGCAATCTGATTGGTTCTCTAAGCAGCCAGAATTCTTCATTCTTTCAATTTGAATTTCAAAATTTGAGCTTCAATTCAATTGGAATGCAATAGAATTGCATTGAAATCGCTGCCCAAATCTTGTGGTAAAATTGCTACTAACTTGTTATTTGCATGGTGCACCTTGTTTTGTACCTCAGGACCCGTTTGTACGAAGCCTGGATAGCGCTATCCGATGGATAAATCTTATCCAGTGGATAAATTTATTAGATAACAGCATTGACTTATCCACTGAATAAGGATTTATCCACTGGATAGCACTATCCAGGATTCGTACAGCCAGGCCGAAGAGGAGTCCATTGCAGCCTTTGTAGAACAGGAATAATCAACTCCACATAAAAGTCAGAGTTTGTTGGTAGACTTACATGTTTTGGTATTTTTCAGGTGGTGTTCCTGCTAAGAACATGGGTCCAATTAATGAATGGTGGACTGCTGGGTTTGATGGAGGAGAAAATGTCATCATTGGGTTTACCACAGGTAGTTAACACACTCCTTTCTTTTTGTTTGACTGAACGTTTCACTGATGTTATAAGCCTTATATTCATCGATATCACCATCATCACTACCATCAGCTACTCTGTTATCGTGACTGTGGACATTATCCTCATCATCTCTGTCATCAACACCATCATCATCACTGGTAACCAGCTTCTCTGTTATCATAGCTGTCAAGTCAACATCATCCTCATCATCAGCATCACCACCATCATCAGCATCAGCACCACCACCACCATTATCATCATTAACATCATCACTGTCAACATCACCATCTCCATCACCATGATCATCACCATCAACATCATCACCATCATCATCACCATCACCATCATCTTGTTTTTTCTTTCCAGCCTATGGGGAGTATTTCCTGATGAAGCCCTCAGAAGAATACGCTCCATTCATTGACACGATGACCGAAAAAACGAAACTTAGCAAAGTAAGTTTTTATCGCAAACACTTCACGTATCGCATCTACCTGTCAATGATGATTGTGTGATGCATTCAAATCAGGAAAAAACTAAACTTAGACGGCCATAAAAATCCCCTGCTACCAGAGCCTCCCTCTTTGGCGATTCTTGGCAAATAAAATGGGAGTTGCTAAGTTACCAAAGCGCATGCGCAACTAAGGAAACGGCCTAAACTAGAAAGTTGCAAAGAATCAACAACGAGGGAGACTCTGCTAGCACGAAACCATAAAAATTTAGCCAGAATATTATTATTTTTTAAACATTTCAGAGATTAACCGATTTTTTTTAAGCCTAAGGAAATATGTGACATAACAATTTTCTTACGATTAATATGTTGTTTTTCTTTTCTATTTAGATAGTTATCGAGTTCTTGTTGGTAAATCCCGACTCTAGATATGAAGATCTGTTGAACAAGGTCCAGGTGAGACATAATCTAGATCTGTCGTAACTGAAGAAAAAAACAGGGAAATGTACCGAGTGAATTGCCCTATAACACTATGACGTGACATCAAAACAATCTATTGTTTTAACGCTAAGGATCATGGTCGCCAGAGTGGGCAAAATAGCAGCAAAACGAATTAAATCACAATAAAAAATGGTTAATTAGACGGGGAAAGATGATAACAGATAAATGTTGTACTAAATATCCCGAACGAAAGAAAAGTTCGCCTAAATTCCTATCATTCTTGTCCATGTAAGCAAACTGTGACGTCATAATGTTATAGGTCAATTGAACAGTAAATAAATAAAGATTTGGACTAATGGGAAATTCCTTTCTCTCTCTTTTTTATCCCCAGACATCTATTCCTCCAGAGAACTGTGCCAGTTTTACCGAAGAGTCTCTTCTACGCCATGCACAGTTCATAGTAGAACAGGTGAACTGATATAGAGTAATCAGATGGTGCGGTAAATACCCTTAACAAAACCGTGCACCTTTTTGCGCAAAGAATTGTTCTTGTTCCACAAATGCAAGTTTTCTCTCTGGTCTTCGCAAAAAAAAAAATGTTACCCAAGCATTGTAGTAAACACAAGAGTGTTGTATGACATGTGGCACGTATCTTCAAGTAATTTGTTGTTGCAAACATGCATGCTTTCTCTGCTCTGCGAGAGAAAAAAAGTTGCACGCGCAGTTTGGTAGAACAACTAAGGCGCTCTCTGCAAGTTGAAACGCAAGAATTTTCTGATGGCAAGTTAAACGTGTCTTCAATTAGGTCTTGTTCCCGTGAATCATCAGAGACAACGGACAAGAATTCAATGAATTCACCCGAAATATGTGTTGAGCTGATTCGCTGCATTAATACACCATCATTTAATTTGACTCTAAAAACTCTTCAGCATTCGTCTTTTGGGGGAAAATGGTTTTTAAATTTTGCTAAGTTGGTGTTTTTTCTAGGTTGAAAACTTTGACGACGCACGTGACTTCGATGAGCTGCCGCTATTGGTCAGTCCATGTATGAGGGACTTTATCAAACTCTCTGGTGTAACCCTGGGCAAAAGGTACCACTATCATAATAGAGATATCATAGATAAATTTAACATTTACGAGGTCATTTCCCAGATTTTTGGCTCAATAATGTCCCTGTGCGCAATAGATTTATCCAATGCAAAACATGTCTCTCGGTCAAAACATCCCGATTTTTTTGCGATGAGTATTTTCAAGCATTATATTCGACTTTGTTCATCGAAGGAGAGCTACAAGGAAAGTCAGAGTCAAAACAGAGGTCAAGAAAAAACAGGCACCGACAAAGGTAAGTCCAAAAATGGCCAGTTACAGTACTTCATAATCAGATACGTGAAATCGTACAATTTACCATAAAGACAAAATAAGTGGTTTTGGTGGATGTCAATCAAAGTGTTGCCATGACATTCCATATGCCAAAGCTTGATTGACGTTCGCCAAAACCTACTTTATCACGTCAATGATTCCGCATGTGCTATTGAAAAGCACTATAATACTAGGGGGGGAAAATGAAAATAAAATACTTATAATAGATTCACATTTTTAGGCAACTACTACGCCATTGGTTCGTCATGTGTTTGATATTTTCTTTGACAAACAAATCGAAGGTAAAAGCACAGCTCCCAGGCGGACACGGTGTGGTATTTGTGAGAAGTGTCAACAGCCAGACTGTGGGAAATGCAAGTCCTGTCGCGATATGGTGAAGTTTGGAGGGACTGGACGAATGAAGCAATGCTGTGTGGAGAGACGGTTAGTATTAACTAAGTGAAGTAGGTAAAAGGTAAAGTGAGGGAGGGGAGGGTCGGGTGACTACAATAAGGCAGACAGACAGACTGTGAGGTGACACCAGAATGATGGAGGTAAGGGTAAGGTATTGCTGTGATGGGAGATAATAAGTATGTAAAAACTAAGTGAGGGAGGGGAGGGTTGGGTGACTACAATAAGACAGACAGACTGTGAGGTGACACCAGAATGAGGGAGGGTAAGGGAAGGTATTGTTGTGTTGGGAGATAATAAGTAAGTAAAAACTAAGTTAGGGAGGGGAGGGTTGGGGGACTACAATAAGGCAGACAGACAGGCTGTGAGGTGACACCAGAATGAGGGAGGTAAGGGTAAGGTATTGCTGTGTAGAGAGACAGTAATTAGTAAGGTAGGGAGGTGAGTGGAAGGTACCAACAGGATTTTAGGCAGACTGTGAGGTAAAACGAGGCAGGCAAATCCTTATAACTGGTTTTCTTGCTTGGAAACAGATGTCCTTACAGAGATATCAGAGAAGCTGATGATAACGAAGGACTTGAAGAATGTGACAAGGATGACGTGGTAAGCGATGATGCTATCACCTATTTTTAGAGAGTATCTTGTCTTGAAAAAAATTTCAAAAATTTAAGCCCTCGTTCCTTTAATTGCTAACTTTTATTATCGTCATGACAACCTTTCCTTTGAATGTTTGAAGGAGAAGGAAAACAAACATGAGGTGGCTAACAAAGTACAACACAAGATAGCTAAGGGACAGAAGATCATCAAGGTAAGATAATACGATAGACCTCTTCGGCTTGGGGTAATGTTTTCCCATTTCAGACCACGTGTCATTCCCTTGAGAATAAGATTCTTTGTTTGAGCTTTATCCATATTCATGTGTCTTCTCATGTGCAACCGAGCGCAAACCTTAAACAAAGAAATGATACTCCAGGGAATGACATGTGGTCTGAAATGGGAAAACATTACGTCAGAGCCGAAGAGGTCTATTGGCCACTTTAGAAACGAGTGAAGGACAAGGAACGAGTGTATAGAAGGTATTGATATTATTAAAAAATTAGTGCATCAAAAACGTTTAGAAACTCGGCTACATTATGCATCGACCTCAATGCACGTAAAATGTGGCAAACAAATGAAGTCAGCTGCTTACTGCTCTGAATAGGCCCTTTGCAGTTAACGGTCACGTGTCTGTACTGGTGAGCAAAACATTTTTATTATTATTTTAAATTGGTGATTCTTTTTAGCTACTTGTAAAGAACTGGATGAAACGCTGTTTAACCAGTGTGTTACGAAATGCAGTTTTTTTACGATCTCTCGAAACAGGTTGTAGAAATTTTGTTTGCTCACCAGTATATTTCACCCAAGGGAATCAAGATGTTCATTCATTTGCTCTCAGTGAATCAATCAGCACGTGTTTACTGAGCTGCAAAGGGCCTATTGCGCCACTTCGAGCAACATCACTTCATCATAACGTCAGTCGCCTGCAAGTTTTATGGTGTATCGCCGGACTATTTCTCTTGGTCTTCCTTAGGGAAAAGACATGACTCTCAAATGTGTGCTGCAAAATATAACGTATTTGATATTTTCAGACGAAAGTGAAGTGGGTTGGAGAACCAAGCAGGGTTGAAAAGAACAAACGATATTATTCGACTGTGCTCATCAACAAACAAGAGGTCAGTTATCAGCTCCTTTCTTTTCTCTTTATATCTTAGAAAAAGACGCTAAATTATATAGGTTAACTTGAGTGGAAACTTCACAGTCACGCGCTCATAGTTTCCTTTAAAAACACTCAAAATCGACCTCTTTATCTTGGGCATAATGTTTTCTTATTTCAGACCAACCCCCCCCGTAGAAACTGTTCTTCGCATACTCGGTTTTGAGTAGCGGTAACTGCAGTTGAGGTAGAGGAACCCCTAAGGTTATATAATGTGTTATAATATTCTTACTAGAGAAAAGATCTAGGCAATTCGGAGCCAAACCATTGATGAATCATAATTGTATTGTATTCTCAATTCTATCAAATTACAGGTGAATGTAGGTGACTTCGTCAAGGTCTGCCCAGACGATCCCCACTCGCCTTTATACATCGCTTGTGTGACTTACATGTGGGAGAATCCTAGCGGTGAGAAGATGTTCCATGCAAGATGGATGTCTCGTGCTTCGGAGACTGTTCTTGGGGAAACAGCTGATCAATCAGAGCTGTTCCTGGCCGATGATTGTGATGATAATCCATTGGGATCGATCATTGAGAAATGCATGGTACGGCTGGATATATATAGCGGGTTTTAATGCTTTCCAAACAAATCGCTGGTACAGGGAAGCGTAAAAAAAAAAAAGATTAAAAAAAAGTTGCCGGGAACTATAAGTTTGGAAGGTCCACTATCTTTGGAGTTTGAAAAAACTGGCTGCCAGTAAGCTCCTCGGTATAGTTTTTATTGACCCACGCATTCCACACAAAAAATAATTTCAAAATTAACCTGCACGTTAAAAAAAAAAACTAATTTCACTGCTACAGTAACTATTTCCTTTCATTTCCTATTGCTTTCTTCGTGAGATATTAGGTTGGACCTTGATGTGATAGCCGCCATGTTGATTAACTGAATCTTTGTCATCCAACATGGCTTTTATCCACTTACTTTCATGAGTGCACAACATATATCAGTGAAGCAATGACTAGCTGTTTAGCGCTTAAAAAAGTATTTAGTTATTAGTTATCAACTATTTATTTGTAAAATAGTCATGAATTTACTCAGGCATGAACCAAACGAAGACGCGTAGAGGTATTTCCTTTTCTTCCAAATGTTCTTCTACGACATTAGCTGCAATAAAACAATACGAGGCATCTTTGGTTACGTTTTACGGATATATTGCGTGCACTCTAGACTAAGAATCCATTCTCATAGTACATGAATTACTGACTCATATACCAGTCTTTGCAAGCGGTATTGTAACTTTACAACTCATAACTCGTATGTCTATAGGTTGTGCACAAAGATCCCCTTAAAGACTGGCACAAAGACTTCGGTATTGGAGGTGTCGAGATGTTCACTCCTAAAGAAGAAGATGATGGAAACAATTTCTTCTATCACAAATGGTATGATATTTAGCACTTACTCCTGGAGCCCGAACGGGCTATTGATTCATAAGTCATGAGGGTGAGAGGACTAATTATTTTACTCTAATCCAACTAGACGGTCAAATATATCGATGCAAACAAGTTTTGAATTTAAAGTTAGATTTAACGTTTTGGTTTTCAAAGCTGGTACTTTTCGCTACTAGTGGGGTATAACGTATAGCCTAGTAGTAGTTCATCCAATCAGAACGTGGCATCGATGATAGACCTTTAGTTGGAATTGACATATCTGCAATATCAACCTCCTGTTTTATATGTTTTACATTCTCACCTCTCTTTCTCTGTTCTTTCGATTTCAAGGCTTTTCTTTTACTTCTCTCGGTTAAAAGCGGGCGCTTAAAATTCAGTGTCAACGCTAGCTCTTTTATTGCTGTCTATTTTAGCTATTCTCATCTCCTCATCTTGAACCTATCAATTATGGAGACCCTTCTCAAAAGTGTCTTGAATGCAAGGATAACATCGAAATACAAAAGTAATGCCCCAAAAAAAATTCTTTTGTATTTTCATGTTAGTCTCACATCCGACCATGTTAGGCTCCCCCCTCTATTTGAACCATTTGTCCTTCCTTGACAAATTTTCTGGTACCCAATTATGCTCCTGCTCTTTTATTTATGTTGTCCCGTTGTCGAAGGATAAGATACTCGTCCCTAACACTATTGTCACCAGAACCATTGAATAATCCAGGTATGACAGTGAGATGGGACGATTTACAGACCCACCAACCGAGTACTCTGTCAAGGTGGACAGAACGAAGATGAACTACTGTGAAAGCTGCGAACGTATTGCTGCACAGGAACTGGTATGCATCAGTATAAGTATTGGTCAGCCAGGGGATGTTAAATGTCTAATAAAAGAAGAAGAGATGGGAAAAAGATGGCAAATTTAGAAAAGGAGTCACTAACATATCTGTTTTTCGATATTTAAAAAAAAATGCATGGATGTAGGAACCAACGAACTCATTGCATACTTATAAAAATATAATACAGACGAACCACAAATGACTTGAAGACTGCTAGTCACGTAATGAAATTTGTTTCGCACAATGTTTTTGAAGTAGATTTTGATTCTACTTCCTTAACCTTTCCACCCATGCTAAACGAAAGAGTATCTGCGGTATGGTTTGCTATTGGGCGCAGAAGATGCATTGGCATAGTATTTATTTTGCATGTGCATGATGGTGCGTATTAGTTAAACCTCGTATTTAAAAAGTGTACTTATTATTCCAGTTGGATACAGCAAGACATAGCGATCAAACTGAGCAGGACGGAAGTCAAGGATCAAAAATCCACCACGAGTAAGTATTTTTTTCGAGGGTCTGGTCTGGGAATCTAAGGACCCATAGTATTAGTTAGGAGAGGTGAATGTATGAATGAGAAACTGGGACCTAAAATTCTTTTTTTTTTTTTTTTTTTTTTTACTTCAGGGAGCTTTGATATACCTCTTTTTATCATTTAATTCTGCAAAGAACGTGCGTGATACGGAAAAGACCATACCTGATATGAGACCGTATCAGCACATCTCATCTGTAAGCGATCTGGTACGATATAGTTTAGAGGGAGTTTGAGCATTTCTTTGCAGAAGTTAATGATAAACAACTTATCAGTAGGCTAAGCATCTGATACAGCTGCGCAATTTTCTTGTCACTTGTATTTTGTAAAGGCTTGCCGAAATACTCCGTGACTCGTAAAAATACACAGCCCGTACCAGATGCTTAGCCGACTGATAATCTCTATATATTGGGCGTTTTGTTTTCCCATATCAGACCAAGTGTCTTTCTCTTGAGAATAAGATTCTTTGTTTGAGTCGTATCAGAAGTTTATAGTTATGAACTTCTGGTCGTATTCATGTATCTTTTCATGCTCAGCCATTACTGCGGTTTTCATTACTGCCGAATCTCTGCGAACTCAGTAGTTACAAGCTGCACGCTGTAATTTGGTTTTTTGCTGCCTTCAATCAAAAATCATTAAAAGTCAGTACCTTTTATGCTCTTTATTGGTGGTAGTAAAAAAAAAAAACAAATTATACAACAAGCCGTTGAAATGACTGAGTTTGCAGAATATCGAAAACAGCAGTAAACAAAGAAGTAATACTCTAGGAAGTGGTGTGTAACGGGAAGAATAAGGTATATTACAGGAGTAATAAAAGTGGAAGTGAGAGAGAGTGGGCGCAAAATAATAATGCAGTCAGTCTCTGCTGTGTGTTCATTTTGTTCCAGTTTTCAAATCTTTTAATTTATCATATCTTTTTTGCAGATCGTTTTCTGTCAAAGGCGTAAAGTACAGCTTAGGAGAACACGTGTACCTGAAAGATGGCTCCTTCTCCTTCAAGTATGTACCTTGATAGTTAAATTATTAAACAAGCATAGCTTAGTTATTTTGATAGAAAGCTGTTTGTCTTGTCAAACTTTCTATTTTCTAGTGTGACTTTCAAGGAACCCAAAAAATCTGTCAAGAAGGAAGGTCCTGTAAGTAACTGATTGGACTTTGATAAGTAACTAATTGATGATGATGTTGATGATGATGGTGATGATAATGGGGTTGATGATGATGGTCATGGTCATGGTCATGGGGATGATGGGGATGATGGGGATGATGGGGATGATGTTGGTGGTGGTGGTAGTTACGGTGGGGTTGATGATGATGCTGATGCTAAGGTAATAGAGATGATGATGATGACGAGGTGATGAGGGTTGTAATGATGATGTCGATGCATGATGGTGGTGGTGGTGGTGGTTATGTTGGGGATGATGATGCTGATGCTAAGGTAATGGAGATGATGTTGATGAAGAGGTGATGAGGGTTGTAATGATGATGTCAATGCATGATGGTTGTGGTGGTGGTTATGTTGGGGATGATGATGCTGATGCTAAGGTAATGGAGATGATGTTGATGACGAGGTGATGAGGGTTGTAATGATGATGTCGATGCATGATGGTGGTGGTGATGGTGGGGATAATGATGTTGATGGTGGCGGTATTAATGATGGTGATGCCGGCAAGATAATAGTGTTAGTGGATAATTGCTAATCCATAGTGATGGTTGTGATGATGTTAATGATGATGATGATCAATCGTTCCAGAAAGCATTATGCCATTGCAAAAGTCAAAAGACTTTTTAGAATCTCTACTATAAACTCTTTTARTTTTAAGCAAATGCTACCCCTTGTACTTTATAAAGGTTGATGAAGACATTTATCCAGAGTATTACAGGAAATCATCAGAGTACGTCAAGGGAAGCAATCAAGACGTTCCAAAGCCATTCCAAATCGGTATGTCCATGAGTTGTCTATAATTTTCTCTCAGTTTCCATTCTCTAATTCCATTTTGATCTGTTAGCTAGCTGTACCCTTACCTGGATGAGTAAGAGGTTGTTGAGGGTCTGAAAAAAATTGGAGCCTCCTTTGGATGCACAAAAAAAAACTAAGGAAGCGTTAATGAATCTATTGTTCTATTGCATCAGTGTGAGGTTTAGTGTGTATCTGCGTGTGATTAGTACATCTGCCAAAGCATCTCTTATTCGTTGTTTAACCACAGGTCGCATTCTCAAGATATACGCCAAAAGTTCGTCAGGAAAGCTGAAGGGAGACCAGGACTTGTTTCTGAAAGTTGCGAAATTTTACAGGTAGAACGAAGTAGTTCTCATCTTTACTTTACTTCACTTCACTTCACTTCACTTCACTTCACTTCACTTCACTTCACTTCACTTTACTTTACTTTACTTTACTTTACTTTATTTTATTTTTTATTTTCCTTCTTCATGCAGTTAGTCTTTCGTTGTCGCTTCCTTGCCACTTCTTCGTGCAATGAGTAGCCACTTTCTTCATTTCTTCTTCCCCTATCTATTTATCTGTCATTCTCTCCTTATTACATCTTTACCGTTTCCTTCCTGTTTGCCCGCTTACCCTTTTTTCCTCTTTCTCTATCTCTTTTCTGATCTTTCAGTTATTTGTAATCTTCTGCCTTTTGCATCCAGTCATAATTTACTTTCCATTCTCCATTTCTTCGTTGTCAAACTTGACCTTCATCTAGTAATCCTCAGTTCTACCTTCATCATACCTTGTCCATCTTCTACTAGTTTTATTTTCTTGTCCGATCTCTTTTGGTTGTCTCCTGAGAATTTCTCAGTGGGGACCGCTTGTATTCTTCCCCAAAGCAACATTCAACTTCTCCTGTCTTTATGGCTTGTTGTATGTCATCTTGGATAGATCTAGACGTATTTTAACTTGAAATTATCTTGCAGACCTGAAGACACTCATAAAGGACCAAGTGCCGGACATCAAGCGGACAACAATCTCCTCTACTGGACAAATGAAGGTGCTTCAAAATTAATCCATATGTCGATACTATCCAATCTACAGTGCACCGCTTTTTATTATGGCCTCCAAAGACAGGCCCAACCCCTGTTTACAATACGAAGTGGCAAAATGAACTCAGTCTCGATTTCATTCAAAGGAAAGATCAATGCTTGGTCAACGTGTCAACTTCTCTTCTAAATTCCATTTCCCCCTCATTTTTTAGATTGTTCAGTTTCTGTCAGTTGTGTGCAAGGCAAGTGTAGTGTGGTATACGGTGAAGATATCAACGAACCCATTCATCAATACACTGCAAAGGGACCTGACCGATTCTACTTTTTCGAGGTGAGAATATCAATAAACTATATGATAATAGCGTGTTATTATCTCAAATTCATCCATTCATACCATCCCATCCCATCTCATCCCATCCATCCATCCATCCATCCATCCCATCCATCCCACCCATCCACCCATCCATCCATCCATCCATCCATCCATCCATCCATCCATCCATCCATCCAACCCATTCACTTCAACGAAATCGTCATGAAGAGTGCCGACTACTTCCAATCGGATAAATTATCTATTTAAGAAACCTAATCATTTTTTCGTTAAAATCTTTTTCTTTAGGCATATGACAGTGAGAGAAAAGAGTTTGAGGAACTGTCGTTGGAAGCACGGGAACAAGTCATGTTCAACAAGGTGATTATGTATTCCGTCTGCCCCTGTCACTTTTACTGACGAGGAAACAATCCTTTTTTTCCTGTATCTTGTGCCTGGTTAACATGTTTATATAGACCCCGGCACACAATGCTACTGTTGTGCACAACAATGCACACAAATTCGCAGAAGTGGAAAAGAGATCTTCTACCAGTAAGCGCGCAAAAAGTTAAGAACTCTGAAGATTGAATATTGCCAGAATTCACAACATTGCATACAAATTCGCAAAAGTAGAAAAGAGATCTTCTTCTACCAGTAATCGAACAAAAATTCAAGAACTCTGAAGATTGAATATTACCAGAATTCTTCGATGTGTGTTTAGTTTTCCATAATTCACAGTTTTCTTCCAGAAAACATTGCTACTTTGAACCGCCTTTGTCTCTAGTACCGCTGAAAGCAACAGGGTTCGTACGGGTCATGGAAATCCTGGAAAGCCATGGAATTTCGTATTTTCGTTTTCCAGGCCTGGAAAGTCATGGAATTATGTTCAGGGTCATGGAAAGTCATTGAAAACATTATTGTGAACAGTAAAAATGTTATGGTTTATTCAGAGATGTTGCAATTGTTTTTAGTTATTATTTAGTTTTTGATAAATATTGGTCATGGAAAATAATGTAAAAGTCATGGAAATAAAAGGTTATGGAAAGTCATGGAATTTAGAAACTTCAAAAGAGTACGAACCCTGAGCAACATCTAAAGAGGTGACACACGCGACACAATTCCACATTTGTGTGCAACAATTGCACCGTGTATTCCAGCTTTGTGGCGTTTGATAATATCGCTTTAATGAGAATTTCACTTGTTCTAGGGTAAGGGCAAGGGAAAAGGAAAAGGAAAAGGCAAGGGGAAAGGAAAGGCTGCTATGGAGACCACCTCAGATGCTGTCAAAACTGACCAAGAAGAAACTAAACCTTTTCAGAAACTCAAAAGCCTGGACGTGTTTGCAGGCTGCGGAGGTAAGTAGGGCAAAGTTGTTCAAGGGGCTGATTTGTGCTATTCCAAGTTTGATTACCAAGTTTTGAAAGTGAGAATTTACACTTGGAACTTGCTTGCACCAGATCTCAAATAATAGCGTAGAAATGAAGTCACTGGAAAACTGAGGTGTCATGAAGCCTGTGAAAATTGATCAGCGAAAAATAAAAGGCTGTCCACCATTGCAATAAAAATATAAAACTCATTACTTATTGTGTTATTGTTATCAACCTCTTGTTAGCAACGTTATTCTTTTGTTATTTCAATGGTGGCCTGAAAATCAAAAATTTCAAGACACACCTCAGTTTTTCAAATTTTCTCGATTTTGGTTGGCTAACATTTTCTCTCAGATCATCTGGTTAGATGTAGGTGTGACCGCTGTCACCAAAGGAAGATATTCTAGCTCATAGTTCTGTCTATTGGATAAGACCTGTGATAGGTGGATCTCCAATAGACGTCTTTACCTTGGCCGTAATGTTTTTCCATTTCAGACCACGTGTCATTCTCTTGAGAACAAAAATATTTCGTATTTTCATGTGCAACAGTTAAACACAGAAATGATACTCTGTCTGTCTGTGAAGTGGAAAAGAATTACTATCAAAGGTAAAAGGTCTATGAGATTTACATCAAAATTATTTTTTTCTGGTTATTTTGTTAGGTCTGTCTGCAGGTCTTCACCAGGCAGGTATTGCAGAATCCTGTTGGGCCATTGAAAAAGAAATCCCAGCTGCTCAAGCCTTCCGACTCAACAACCCAGACTGCACAGTATTCACTGATGACTGTAACGAGTTACTTAAACTGGCTATTGATGTAAGTAGCAAAATCTTCCATGAATGACGGCAAATCTTCCTTTTTACGAGGGAAGCGCTTAATGGGAAGAGGTTAACAAACCTGTTGTCCTCGTTCCATGATCAAAATTTAGAAGTTGAGGAAAACCGGAGGACCCGTAGAAAAAAAATCCTAAGAGCACAGGAGATAACCGACTATAAGCTCTACTGAGATATGACACCGTGTGCGGTAATCAAACCTGAGTCACATTGATCATGAGAGGCGAGCACCATCAATTAGGCCAAATTGAAAAATTAATTCTGTCGGTTTTTTGACGTTAGGAAGGAAAATGAAGAATCCGGAAAAAATCCCTGGAAGCATAGGAGAAAACCAACTAACAACTCTACTCAAATATGATAGCAAGACTAACGCTGTGAGAGGCAGTGAAGGCTTTAGAGGATTTTATTTTTCAGCCAGTCATCAAACAGTTAGTAACATTTTGCTCGTCCTTATTTTAGGGACAGACTACCAACTCGACGGGACAAAAACTTCCCCAGAAGGGTGAGGTAGAGCTGCTCTGTGGTGGCCCCCCTTGTCAAGGATTTAGTGGAATGAATCGATTCAATACGAGAGAATACTCTTTGTTCAAGGTTAGTATTTTGTCACTAGAAGCGAACGAATTATTGCTCCACATGAAAAATGCTTCCCACCCCCGACAGCACAATACCTTCGTGTAATTCTTAGAAGCTGGTTAAGAAAGGCGTAGAAGCGAACGAATTATTTCTCCACATAAA